AATAATAAGCATGATAGGATGTGTGTTTCAGGGTGTGGGGAGTGGTTTCTCTGATCTTAAATCTTATTTGTCAGGGAAGCTAAATGTAGAGTGTGTGTGCATTCACCAAGTGTACGTGACATTAATGTCCCAGAACCAACATCAATATCATATGAGGCAACAATGTTTCTCCCCCATCCATCCATTACCAGCTAACCTTTTAAAACACACCCTAGGCCATGTAAGACTGTTTCTGCATACCTCCGAGATGGAAAAAATACATTAGGAATTACACTTCCAGCAACATAGAAAATGCTGATGGGAATCCATATTTTCTGCTTACTTTTCATTTCCTTTGGCATAAAGCTGTGAGTGTGCTTGAAAAACAACGTGCAGGGGAGGCATTAGGGTAATGGAGAAAAAAGGCTGGAGTGAGAGGGTGTTGGATGGGGGGACTAAAGGTGCATTTACCAACAATGCACAACAGCCCACATCATTTATTTTATCTAGTATAGTATAATTTTCCTAAGAGGTGGATCCTGAGGGAGCACCGTGTAAACGAGACTGTTCTCTATCAAGCTGTAGAATAATGAAAAAATACAACAGTAAAATATTTTCTATGTTAATGCAAAGACAACGTGTCATCTGTATCCAAACACAGCAGCAGCATTAACTTGTAGGCTGAGTTTCCTTTTCTAAATTAGACAGACTCTATATTCCTCCTACAATGTTTTGTATACGGTGTTTGTTTTGTCATAAAATTGTGATGGTTCACTACACCTAATTAAGCCAGATAAATACCGTCAGGCGTTTTATTTCCAGATACCTGGATTGGGAGGAAAATAATGCTAAATGAATTACACTCAGTTGTAGCATACTAGCAGACTGAGCCTTAAAAGCTGGATAGATGTGCCAACTTTAAATTTTAGTGGGTTTTTTTTTAACTCAGCTTCTATTTTACATAAAAATCCTGTGAGACTAACAGGATCCAAAGTCCTCACAGAGAGAAACTGCTTTTCTTGAATGTGAGGTTCGAGTAACAGTCCCACAAGCCAAACAAGCTCAACTCCTTCAGGTCCCAGCTCCCTTCACCTCTTCTGTCCACTTCCTGGTTCAGAGATTACTGCCACTTAGGCACCAACCACCATGCGGCCACAGAAAAGTGCAGAACGCTGTCAAAGCTGAGCTGGATGTGGAAATTAAAGATCTCACAAACTGGGGCCTCCAAACATACACACTCTACAAGTTTGGGTACGCCAGGTCTGTCCAGCATCCAGGACGCTGGAGCCCACAGTAAGGGCACCTTCAAACACCCCACCCTGAGACTCCAAACAGGCAGGATCCATTTAACCGTCACTCAGCACGTAAGCACAAGCGACAGCCAGGACTTGTTCCCTAACCTAAAGCTGCAGAGAAGGAACCTTTTCATCTGCTGGGAACACCCCAACATCTCACTGGGCCAACCGCAGAGTGGTGTAGAGTCCAGGCTCTCTCTGGGAGACTGGTTTCAGGTCAAAGGCAGATTCATCAACCCCTGACGCCATCACTGCGGTGGAGGCGTTTGCGATCACGATACGGTGGCAATTTACGGAGGGAAACAGTATCTGAGTATATTTCAGCCACTTTTTTAAAACTGTACTCCTGACCTCTTTCTTCAGCAGACCTCAAATATCTTTTATTTTCTTTGTGGTTTTAAACCTAAAGCCAGGCAGTCTGAGTCTGCCTACAGTAAAACACTCATCTGGGATTAGGAGCCATTTATTCATCTCAGCTCAGTAATACTATGACAGCCTCGCTTCAGAATCCAATGAATATCTCACACTTTCATTTCATATGCAATCTCTGGTGCTCAGGAGTGTGTATCGCCGAGTATGATTCTGTACAGTTTATTTGTTTGTGTGTCTGTGTGTATGTGCCTTATGTGTGTTTTGGGGGCATTAGTGTTTTGCAATGTTTTCATCCCAGCTCTGAAATACATATTTTCTAGAAATCACGCACATTAATACTTTACGTTTCGATGCGTTTCGCTGTCATATTTGATGCCCTAAAATATGTCTTTGGCAGTTTGACTGCATTCGAAGTCTGTTACCTACAAGCGTCGCTATCCTATTTGAGTGAATATGAGAGAAGAGAGCACACGAGGGAAAAGCTGAATAAAAATATAGCACAGTCGTCAGATGTATTGTGCATCTTTAGGGATCGCCGTCACCAAGACATTCATTTACTTTCAGTCATTAAAAGTCCAGCTCTGACACAGAAACCTGCTCCAACTCCGGACTTGCTATTCAAATGATTAAACACTTATCTAATCATTTCCCTTCCACTCACATTTTGATATCAAACATTAACTCAATGCTTCTCTCTAACTGCAGAATGAAAGATAACACTGAAACTGCTGTAACCCTGAGCTCTCTCAGGAAACAGAATTCAAAGATCTTAATGTTACAAGTCAACGGGGAAAAGGCTAAACACGTGAAAGAAAAAAATCTAAACAAAACAAAAAATGCCAAATAATTCAGTCTCGGGTGCTAAAGTCCAGACAAAATCAAAGACACACCATCACAACTGTTTCTAACGTAGAGGAACTAATCATCGCAGAAACTCCACACTGTGACACCGGCACATTAAGCATCACAAACAAGTAGCCAAAAGCAGGACCAGTGCATGATGCTCTGCAAATCTCACCAAAACCATGGCAACAGGCTCTCAGAACAATAATCTTCTCGGTCAGTTGCTGCTTTCCGGACTCTTTTATTGCTCCTGTCATTGAGTCATGCGGCCGTGCGCTGCGGCTCTGTGTGTCATGTAACTGTACCATTTTCACACAAGAGCTCATCAGGATGTTTCACTCAGCGTGGAGGAACAATCCAGGCTTTATGAAATTCTAAAATGTCACGTGTGAATATCAATTCTTAGCAACAGACACAGTCACGAGTAACATTTCTTCAGGTCAGTCTTGGGCCACTTTATGCATGTAACCATGCACCAAAGCTGTTGGCATGCACACTGACCAATCAAGCCAAAAACCTTTAGCTATAGCTAGATTCTCAAAAATAAAACTATCCTTTTAAATGTAAAATAAGTGATTATTTTGACATGAACAGAGGCACAAAGGCCCGAGTCTTAACAAACAGCAGTTCTTCCCACAGATTCTTACAGCCTCGTGAGAAATTGCTAACTACAGCAACTTTGTTCTTAATTAGTTCAGTGAATTTCCAACAAATCCTGCAGTATTTATACATGCTTAAAGGCATACAGTATGATCCAAGGACAGGGAAACACACTGTATCTGTACAATTTCTAGCCAGCAGGTTCTTTTTTAGCAGTGACCTAAATGAAAAATTCAGTTATCCATAGGACACAAGCTCATTAAAACATGTTGACACTGTTTTAATGTGCGGAGCCACCAAGAGAAGGGCTCCGGATTCATTTAAGGCTCCGAGCAATCATCAAACAGCCCTTACTCTAGGGGATGGGATTGATCACATTGTATAATGCTAGATCTTTTAAAAAAAGTATGAAAAACTTCAGTTTCCAAAGGGGTTAAATGACAAATGACATTCTTCAGGGGAAAAATAAGAATAAACAGGAATATATGGATTGAGTTTGCCTCAAGTCTCCAAACGTGAATTACTAATGATGCTGCCTGACGCTGAAGGCGAGTTAAAACCTTTACCTCTGAGTTTTGCTTAAGAGGCATTATTGTATCAAGGGAGTGGCTTATATGCCACTGCAGCTCAATACTCTGCACACACATACAATGGCACACAATATACCAGACAAAGATCTCGACTTCAGCCTTTGTAACACTTTTGAGCAGACACACAGTATCATGTGCTCACTTACTTCTCTGCGTAATCAGCATAAAACTGTTGTATCAACTGCAGTCAGCATTCTTTTACTTGCTTTTGCATTTGGCACACGCTCGCTCGTCGACCCAAAGGCAGGTTGGACAATAACACCTCTGTACATTTTCAAAAAACAAATTGCGGTGCAGACTTTCAGGTATAAAAGTATTAACTGTTTTGAAACTGCTCGTTTCAGAGGGTCAAAAGTAATTCGACAGCTTACTGAAGCAGTTTTATGGTGAGGCCAGATTACCACAACTTAGGTGGATGATGATTTCAGAAGGCTTCCTTATGAAAGAAAAAGCCTTTACCAACCTCTAACCAAGTCAAGAACACTCTCAAGGAGATGGCAGTCTGTATTCAAGAGGCACCTTCATGATTGGAAATAGAGACAGTTTACCACAAAGTGCAAACCACTGGTTACACGCAACAACAAGAAAGCCAGACTTTGGCAGAAAACATTTAAAACCAGCCTGTGCAATCCTGCAGAATCGTTTGTAATGGCCTGCCAGTGCAACTGTGCCACTAGTGTTATTAATGTTTGACTGCTGATAGACACAGCTGATCGCACAGCGCTTCACAGTGCAAATGGATGAGAGCCCAAAGCAAACTGCAAAAGACACCCAAGAGTTTCTGAAGGCAGTGAAATGACACAAGACCACCTGATCTGGACCTGAGCGAGCAGACTTTTTAGTTCCTGAAGGGAAAACTGAATTCACAGCAGCAACTGAAGGCGTGGAGAGAAGCTCAAGAGAAGAAGTATAGCATTACATTGGATTTTGTTTTTAAATCCACAGCGGTGGTGTACAGAAGCAGATATACAGAAATTGTGGCAAATATTTATGAGCCAAAGTAAATACTGTGATTTTGTAACTGTGCACAGAACAATAGCTGCCTGGTGCGTGTCTGGGGTGGTCAGTTGCACATGCCAGTGTAATCTGCTGTGCTGGTCAGTCAGGAAGCAGGCTATTCCAGTTAAAACTTAGTTAACCAGTTAATACATATTGTTTTCAGAGTTATTAATTAAGAAGCAGGGTTTCTGGTTTTTGGTTAAAATCAAATAAAAAACTCAAACCAGTCAGCTGTTCCATAAAAACATACACCAATCTGTATAATCCCATAATCATACTTAAACAGAAACAATAGAATATATTCTGCAGAGGATGTACTTACCTTGTCTTTGTCTTCCACCAGATCACTGAGTATGTCGTCGGGGTCTAGAATCCCCCCATCACAGTATTCAACATGGTGCGTCCGAATGAAGAAATCTCCTTCCTACAACAAAGGACACAAAAATCAGTGACTTGTGAACAGATTTATCACCACATGATCAATTTACCTACAATTGTTTTATAACACCTGCACCTTTCTAACAGAACACTTGTTTTGTTTTGTTTTCCCCCATCAGGAATGACATTAGCTATCACAGTCGGACTGTTAACCACAACAGGCTGGAAAACTATCCAACATTTTCTGTCAGAATCCTAAAATAGTCACACTTCAGTCTGAAGGATACGGAGTGCTGTTAAATTACACATCACAGAGCACAGAAATGATGTGGAGTTCATCAGTGTTGCATTCTTACGTTTCTTTAGGGATGTTTTTCTTTAGTTGTTTCAGGACGGCTGCCAAAATCTGATATTAAACCGGAGCTGAATTATTGAGATGTTACAGGTTGTGATCTCTGTACTGCAGAAGTTAGGATGAATCTTCTCTCTTGTCAATCCAGAAGAGAGATCTTCCTCGTCCATCTTCAGAGGAAGGTCATATTGACGCCCACGCGGTCAAAACTAAAGATGGAGAAGCAGCGTTCAGTTTCCAAGGTCCAAATCCAAGTCCCGGAAAACTGAAGTCTTCTCTGTTCCCAATGCATTTGTATTAAATTTACTTTTTATTAAACCAACTTTATCTTTCTTGCACTGAAAATGTTCATCTTTTTTCCATTTGTAAAAAAATGTGTTTTTTGTTCTCTCTAAATCATAATTATGCATTTATTCCAACTTCATTTCTAAATTGCAATTTTTTGATATTTTTATCATAATGCTTTTTATTTCTCACGTATTTCTCACAGTAAATGTTTTAAATATCGGAAATGATCCCAGTTCATCCATTGTGCATGAATGTGTGCATTTGGTGCTACGTAAATAAAAGTGAACCGAATTCAAACACCAGTGGTGAGTTTGTGTGTGTGTGAATAGCACAGTAGGCAATAATACATAACAACACGGATACATGAATGTAGCTTGTATTGGAAACACACGTTGGTCAAAAAGACTAGAAAGGCAAGAATCCTGACATTCCATACCTGTCCAAATGTGTTTAACTTTTTTTTGGCAGCAATAAACATGACAGTTTACTTATTTTAAGATGTGTTTTATTTTAATTAAGTTTAAAACTTTTTTATTTAATGTAAAATTATATTTTGTTTTCATTTACTTTCAAATTCTTCAGTTGCTGAAGGGGCTGCATAGTTTTCATAAATTGCATAGTTCACAATAGCTATAATTGTACCAGATGGTTGCGTTCAGTTAAGTTGGACTCGTGCGTTAAGTATTGTGATAATATCGTGTCGTGTGATGTATGGTGATTCCCACCTCTAATTAACATAGTAATAAATTAAGATTATTCTAATTATTTGATGGACACCCACAAGAATCTACTGCACACCAACTCCTCATTTATAAAGCCCTCGCTCTCCGACTCCCCTTCTCCCTCAACTTTGCCCTCACCTTTGTTTCTTTGCTCCGCACATCTCTCACGTCTTCCCCGAGGTGCCTTGTACAGATTACAGCTCTAGCTGGGCCCATTCTCTCTCCCTCCTCGCTCCCTTTCTCCGCCGTGTTGGGCCTGTGATTAATGACTTTGAAACTGTACTGGACAGCTGACTGCATAGAGCTGGTTGTTGAACAACATATTGAGACAACACACAAGCGTGCACACACATACTCAAGACAAATCACACGCAGCCTAAGGAAAGGTGCGACTCCAAACACTACAGGGTGGTGCTCCAGTAAATCACTCTTTCAGGGTCAGATGCTCGTAATGTTTTTCAAAAACTCGCATTAGAAAGATTTCAAGATCAGATTGTGTCCATGGGTATCACTGCAAGGGCAATATTTCCTTCTATCAGTGTATCAGTCCAACTGATCTGACTGTGTAATAATTAAAAACGATATGTGTGCAAACGCGTACACGTACAATTACAAAACTCGCCATTTCAATGGCTATTCACCCATCTTTGTTGCACAAGGCTCTGACACTGAGAGCATTTATGCTCTTCTATTGTCTGTAACTCTTCCTCTCTTCCTTCCAGCTGGAATTTATAGTATGACTCCGCTGTAACAATGACTTGGCTGAGACCCAGTCCAGATGCATGAGATAGATTTTCAAATACTCGGTTTGATTTTCTTCTTTCCCCTTGAGCACTACCAATCAAGGCTTTGGAAAATGTTAACTCAAGGACACACACCGAGTGCATGTGTTTGTGTAACTGCCTGCGCTTTAAATTTTGTTTATTAGTTCTAATGTCCAGCGCTCAATCGGTCACCGTCACACAAACAGCACGACACCACCACACGAGCAATCGTACCTCGAGAAACAGGCGCGATGAGTTCAGCTTGTATTCTACTTCCTCACATCAGAAAACTACGCCGGGCCTGCTCTCAGTGTGTGGGCTGATCCACACCACCCAAGTACAATTCACACAGAAGCCTTTAATTGTAACTAATCTATTAAAGCTCAACGAGTCATTCATCAAATTAAAACAAACTAGCACAGGTGGATTTTTAAGCGCTTACAGCTGAAAACCCAAATCCATCGTCTTAAAGTTATCATCGATTAAGCCCTAAACAAACTCCAGCCTCCAAATGTTCCAACGCTCACTCACCGCTCTGGTAGCTAAACTTTGTTCTCAACCACCTGACCTGCCAAGTTAGCTCATATTAAATATAGCCCCACCAACGTCTACTAACTATTTTTACTACCAAGGCAGAAATGGTTAGTCTGACACTGACAGCTTATGTTGCTCGTGTCTACTTGGATTCAGCAAATTGACATTTCGAAGGTTGATAACTTGATTTTCACAGAACACGGTCTTTAAATCTTTGAGCAAGGAAAGATCCTGTGCACAAATAGATTTACGGTATAGTTTGTCTGTTTGCCGGCAGGATTACACAAACAGTACCAAGACAAATATCGTTAAACTTTGTGAAAAGGTGCAGAAAAGGCAGATCTTCTGCCACATTAACACTGAATATTAACGAATAATCACGTGTAGGGATGCGCCGATACCGATACTGGTATCGGGGCCGATACTGTAAAATGTGTGTGTACTCGTACTCGTAAAAGTTAACCGATACCATGAACCGATACTAACTTATTTCATTAATCAGAGGGTGGCATGTCATTTCTGTTGTAGTTTTTTAGATTGGCCACTAGGGGGACATCCGGCGCTAAACAGGCACAGGGTTAGGTGAGTGAGACTGGCGGCTCCAGATAAAAAAGAGAAACTGGAGGCTGCTGTAGCTAGGCTAAACAAAATGTCAGCAGTGTGGACCGGAACAACCAACTTTAACTCAGGTTTTGGAAAAGTGATGAAAGATGTCAAGAGAAAATCCACGGGCAGTTAAAATAACAGAGGCTCGACTCATTTTATCGCTCTGGATGACCAGCCAATGCCGGTCGTGGAAAACATAGGATTGCACCGTCTTCTCAGCATACTCGAGCTGCGATATGAAGTGCCAATAGTTCAGTGATATTTATTTAAATTACAATGTGGAGACTCCGCAATAATTTAACAGAAGTTCTTATTTTTCACTTGAAATTTTTTTGTGGTCATTTTTATTAAGATTTTATTTTTTATCGGCAGAGAATAAAATAAAACCTGTCTTCCAATCCATTGCATTTGTGTGTGTGTGTGTGTGTGGTAGAAGTATCGGTTTTTGTTCTCTGTATCGGCAAGTACTCAGATCCAAGTATCGGTATCGTGTCGGTTTGAAAAAATTGGTATCGTTGCATCCCTAATCACGTGACTAGAGTCAGATGATATTTAACCTGACAAGTAAAGACTTATTTGCAAATTAGAATTTATTATTTCAGAACATGTAAAGTACTGAGAAAGTACCACATCAGGTCGAAGATGAAATACACCCAACCATAAATCTGACATTAATCAGCTGATTCTAATTATATACAAACTCATTTCAGTGGTTTCTGAAGTGACTGAAATGACTTGCGTAGTAAGTAATAGTAGCAGTAATAGGTAAAATTGTTTCCTGGTCACATGATGACACGCGCCATGCCGTCTTTCCCCAAGTTACATTGTTACATATTCAGTGGATCAGAACCTTTTTAAATTCAACTGATTGTTCACGAAACTAATCGGCAGACTAATCACTACAAAAAGTGGGAAACACGTACACCCTGTAACCTGGAAACACAATGAGACACACACAGTGAAAACAGCCACGTTCCTTCGGCGACCTGCTGCTGCTATGAGGTCATCAGCGCCTGTTTGGGTTTCTCTGTTACAGTAGGCAATCCGTACGGCTGTACCGACGAGAGACGAAGATTCTGAGAGATAAGCCGTGAGCACACTCGTCTAATCTGATAAAGTGTCAGCACCAAATCCTGTCCCTCCAACTCTAGTGGTTTCTAAACCCAGAGAGACTCGCAGATATAAGTTTAAAGATAAGAGTTGTAAACACGCCGATCAAATCCAAAAATCAGGGGGATTAGCACTTAATGCAGTGTTTTGCCTGAGTCTATTTCAGATAATCTTGGGTAATTTGGGATATTTGATTCTCGTGACGTGATGTGGAAATGATTAATAGGTTGGAGTAAATTCCCTCCTGAGTGAAAACACTCTGTACCATCGCTCCCATTCTTATCTCTGAACAGTACGCCTTTTTTGTCTGCTGCTTAACAAACGAGTTTGGTATGCACGCTGCTCTCAAACTGAAGGTCGTGCAAATGAGTGGACCTCGATAAACCACAGAGGTGTGATTGAAGAGTCATGCAGTGCGACATCCACACCACAGCTTCAGCTGAATACTCGCCCACGTTTAGATCCTTATCCAGAACTGAGAGGCAAGCAGGAAATGTATGCATGTATTATATCATTTTATTATCGATAATCCTGTAAAGGCAGTAACTAATATCCTGAAATTAATTCTGAAAAAGCAAAATAAACAATCTAAACTGAATCACCCCCCGACCTGCCTTGCGACCCTGCAACAGCATCCCACACTTAAGATGGGCACAAGCTCACTTTTCAA